AGCTTTGGTACTCACAGGTGGTTTCCTAGGCCCTGATCAATGTCAGATTTGAATCTTTCAATTTCCTTCAAAATTTTCTAGGGGTGGACATGGGTGAAATGTAGAGGAGATAAAATTGTCCAGGTGTTGATAATGATTAAAGGGGGGTAAGGTTAGAGCAGGGGTTCATTATATATTCATCCCTACTTTTGTTGATTTTATGATAGTCCACAATTTTTAAGAATAGGAAAATAATGATAAATCAACACTAATTTAACAAAGAAAAAAAAATTCTTGTTTTCATCCCAAATCATTGCCTATACAGCAATCCTGCCCTATCCTCTGAGAAATCCCCCAAGCCCCTGGGCCAGCTCTGAGAGCACAGTTTGGGACTGCAGTGTCTGCTCTGGAGCAGCTGCCTTCATTTATGAAATCTGACCCTGAGCAGTGACTGGGGCCAGGAATGTATCCACATTCTTGTTTCAGGCTTAGGGAGTGGTGAGACTCCTAATGGTGGCATGTGTTTGGGACTCACTGATGGTCTGGACCTTTTTATGTAAACTATAATAATGTTTGACATAGATCAAAAAGGAATAATTACCAAAGAGGAAGAGAGGGAAGGAGAAGAGGAAGGCCTTATTAAAGTAGTTGTGTTTTACAAAGTAGAAAAGTTTAAAATCCTAAGACTCTTCTTGTTCTAGAAGAACACATCTTAGCCCTAAAGGGCTGGTGCCGTGTCATAGTTGCTAATCTGGTGCTTCCCGTGCAGTTCAAAACCTTGATGGATCACGTCAGGTTTTGTGCGTGTGTCTGACTGTCTCTTGCTCCCTACTCTTTCTCTTCCATGTGCTAGGCACAAACAGGGTCTGGGCTCCAGCCCTCAGTGTAAACTGCGAGTAGACAGACAGTTGTGTGAGATGGGTACTGACTCTGAGTGCCCAAGGCACATGACTAGCTCTGCCAGAGTCAGGAAAAGCTTCAAAGAGAAGTGATATGTATACTGGGTTTTGAGAAATAAATAGGAGTTCACCAGAGAGGGAGTAGGAGGAAGGGAACTCCAAGCCCAGAAGTATGAAAGACCAGGGTGCTTTTGATGAGGAGTAAGTTCATTGCATTTAATGTTCAGAACACAAAAGAGTGAGGAAAAAATTTCCAGAAGATGATGGGGAGTCCTGGGGCATCCATGAGTTGTTTGTCTCAACCTCCCCTCTTATAAAATCTTGGACTTCTTCCTGGTTGGAACTCACCAAATCGCCTGTAGCTCTCCCACTAGGCTCTGATTTCTAGCCTGAGAGAAGTGGGCAGGCTCCAGAAGATTGAGAGGACTGTCGTAATGGACACCCATGAGCACCTGTGAAGGCCAGCATGCCTTCGAAGGTGCGCGTGGTCCCTCCCTGCTCTGTTGATGGAGCCCTTAGGAGGATTGTTTTTAAAAAACACAAAATACCTGGGGCTGGGGTTGTGGCTCAGTGGTAGAGCGCTCGCCTAGCACGTGTGAGGCACTGGGTTCGATCCTCAGCACCACATAAAAATAAATAAAATAAAGATATTATGTCCATCTACAATTAAAAAAAAAAAAACAAAATGAAAAACCCCTCACCCAGTTGGGTGTGGTGGTGTATGCCTATGATTCCAGTGACTTGGGAGGCTGAGGTAGGAGGATTTAAAGTTCAAAGCCGCCTCAGCGACTTAGCAAGACCCTGTCTCAAAATAAAAAATAAAAAGGGCTGGGCTTGTAGCTCAGTGGTAAAATGTTCTCTAGTACAAAAAATAAAAAACTCATGCAAAAAAAAAGATAAATAAAATAAAGAGGAGTTACAGAAGTCCTTTCTCAAGAGGACTATGATTATATTCTTCTTTTCTGTAATTTGTATTAGGCACAGTATAGGCCCCTATTTCCTTACTCACGATACCAAAATCCAAATTGCATTGAAAAAAAAAATTGCTCTCTTTGGGTTTGTTGCCCTAGAATTTATTTGGAAGCAGACTACCTGCACAGATGTGAGGTTATTTATAGTCCTTATTGATTCACTTGGTGTGAAGATTCATATTCGGCTGCCAAAGTCCTAATGTGTTTTATTACAGGGTGCTGCCCTGGGCCCACTGGAGGTGTGATGTAATTTTGTGGCATATGCACCATATTACCTTCCTAAAATAAAATTAGAAATGAAAGCCTAAAGTCCATCCAAAACCAGTCTGCCTCCAGGGCTTGGGTTCCTTCTATAAAGAAGATAATATTTTATGTTATCTTAAAAAGCAGAGCCCCTGTCTGGAGGTGTAGCTCCAAGGTAGGACTCTTGCCTAGCATGTGTGAGGCCCTGGGTTTCGTTCCCAGTAGCGAAAATAACAAAACAAATCAGACCTCCACCTGTGCAACCATGGAAAGCCGAATGGTGTGGATAGCCCTGTCCCATTTCTCTGGCCATCGGTCTCCCTTGCTCCATCATGACCACTGAAACCGCTCCACCCATCTGAACCCTCTCTCCTCCTCTCCTCCACTCATCACAGCAGATGAGCTCACCTCCTGCTTTACAAGGTAAACACAGGTCACCAAGTCAGAAGCTCTCTCTACCTACACAGGCAGAAACCGAATGTACGAACTTGCCTGCTGATACCCATCCTGTCCCCCTTCCCTGTCCAACTAATGGATAGCCAGGAACTCAGAGAGGCTCTTATGGAAGGCAGCTCCACCCCGCCCATATCCCTGCCTTCCATCAGCTTTTAAATATAGCATGGTGAAGCTTTTCCATCCCACAAAGACCATGTAACCTGCAAACGAGCAATCCTCACTGACTCCATGGCCGCCTCCTGATAATGCCCTTCTCCCTTCCATCCCAAGGTTACCTGCCCAGGGACTTGCCACTTCCTCTGCTCTGCTTCCCTCCTCTCCTCCCTCCACCTGACGTCCAGACCCTCAGTCCCTGAACAGCCCTCCTGGGACCTCTGTGCTGCTACTCTCTCCCTTGGCATCTGCCACTGGGCAGCACTGGCCTTTCCTGCTCACCTCTCTCCCCAGAATTTCCTCCTGCCTGCCTCTCTAGCTCCCTTGGAGAAGGTCCTTCCTCTTCCCTGCATTAAATTTTATAAATTGACTGACCTGGCTCTGGCCTCTTCTCACTGTCCATCAACTGCCTGCTCCACACAACTACACCTCCAGCTGTGCTCTCTCCTCGGAAGCCCAGACTCATTTGCCCAGCTGCCTGCTTGGCAGCTCCTCCAGGAGACCTTTTTTTACCCACCTTTGGTACTGGGGATTGAACCCAGGGGCATTTTACCACTGAGCCACATGCCCAGCCCTTTTTATTTTGAGACAGGGTCTCATTAGGACCTTGCTAAGATGCTGAGGCCGGTGGCTTCAAACTTGCAATCCTCCTGCCTCCCAAGCGGCTGGGATTACAGGTGTGTGCCTCTGTACCTGGCTTTTCTGCAGAATGTCTTATGAACACATTAAGCTCAACCTATGCAGAGCTAATGTCTTGTCTGCCTTGCGCAACCCCTCCAACCTGCTCCTCTTCCCTGTTCCCATTTCCACAGACATGTGGCTGTCACCTTTCTTCTTCCTCTCCAATCCATCCCTAAGGTCTTTTTGGTTTCTTCTGCTTGAATTCCTCCATCAGCAGCACCTGCCCCTGGGCAAAGCCACCCACCTCCTGCCTCCTGGACCCCAGATGGTGCTTCCTCACGTCTCCTGTGCTGCATCTGTTCTACTCTTTTGGAAATGCACATCTGATTGTGTCCTTTCTTCTTCAACCCTTTCGTGATTTCCTGGATCAAGAGCTTTCTTAGGATAAAGTCAGGAAATTCCTCCAGGCCCTTGACTCCTCTGGCTCTCCCAGCCTCACCTGTACCCTCTCCTTATCGTCCCCTGCCGGCCACCTCCATTTCCCTTTGCATACCTCCCTCTGTGCCACCCCAGGACCTGCTTTCCCAGCCCCCACAGCCCCTGTCAGATGTCAGCTCCCTGGTCTCCTGGCTCATGCTGACTCCCTGCTACAGGCTCTCTGAGCATTAGGTGTCTGGCCTTCAAAGCCCTTGTCACATTTGCAGTTTGGCATCTGTTGGTGGGATCAATTGACCAAGGTCCATCTCTCCAACTGGAACATAAACTCCCGGAATCCTGGGACCCTGCCCACTTTCTCTCCCGTGGGTCCCTGCCTTGAGAAACAGACACTTAAAGAAAAATGGATGTAAAAAGGCTTTGGAAATTGCCCACACCATCCAAATGCCAGTGTGGTTCAGGCCCTCCTCAGGTCTAAGGGCAGAAAGAGCCTTAGGTAAGGGCTGTCTCTGTCCAGGAAGTGTCTGGTCCTATGTGTCAAGTGGTGCACTGGGGTGGGGGGCTTCTGTGACCTGGAGAGTGTAGATGTGTGTGGATGAGCCTTGGACCTCTTTTTCTGAGAAAGGGGAGATTGGGAAGGCAGGAGGAGGCAGAGGAAATGTCAAGGAGACATCGGTGTTTCCAGTTCTCTTGTACTCTTGTGAAGGCTATTCACTGCACACGATAGTCTAAATGAATGGCGCTCCCTAGAGTTGTGCACCACACAACCATATGTGATGGCCTTGGCCGTGTTCCTTAGTCTGACAGCTCCATGGCAGGAAATATAGCAGTTAAAATTAACTGAGAATTTACTACGTAAGCATTCAACATTTATTTAATCTTGCTTAGTCCTCACAATAATCCTCTGAAGCCGATGCTTTTGTTCTGTATGCTTTGCACTTGGGGATACTGCTTAGAGGGGTTAGATGAATTGCCCAAGTTCAACAGCTTCTCTTTTTGTTTGGTACCGGGGTTTGAACCCATGCCCAGCCCTTTTTAATATTTTATTTAGAGACAGGGTTTCACTGAGTTGTTTAGGGCCTCCCTAAGTTGCTGAGGCTGGCTTTGAACTCACTATCCTCTCGCCTAAGCCTGAGCTACTGGGATTACAGGTATGAACTCAGTTGAGGCTGAGGAAAGGGGGTGTGGAGGGAAACCCCTGCACATGAGTAAGCCTGTGTCTCTTTCCTCCCCCACCCCACAGCTGGACAAGATGCTGGATCCCCAGGTGTGGCGGGAGGCAGCCACACAGGTCTTCTTTGCCCTGGGGCTGGGCTTCGGTGGGGTCATCGCCTTCTCCAGTTACAACAAGCAGGACAACAACTGCCACTTTGATGCCGCTCTGGTGTCCTTCATCAACTTCTTCACCTCGGTGTTGGCCACCCTCGTGGTGTTTGCTGTGCTGGGCTTCAAGGCCAACATCATGAATGAGAAGTGTGTGGTCGAGTAGGTGGCTTCTCTCCCGTGGTCCTTCCTTCCCAGCCAGGAGTGGGCAGGCGGCCATGCAGGCAGATAGTTCCCTCCACTTCACTGAGCAATAAGACGCATGCATGCAGCATCATCTGTCCCCAGCCCGGGCCCACAGGGACCTGTCTGGGTGTCTGGGAGGTTCCCCAGGACCCCACTCCTGTCTTCCTACCTGGCATTCTCCCCTTTGTGCTGCAGGAATGCTGAGAAAATCTTAGGGTACCTCAACTCCAACGTCCTGAGCCGGGACCTCATCCCACCTCACGTCAACTTCTCCCACCTGACCACCAAGGACTATGCGGAGATGTACAATGTCATCATGACCGTGAAGGAGGACCGGTTCTCAGCCCTGGGCCTAGATCCCTGCCTCCTGGAAGATGAGTTGGACAAGGTGTGGGGATAGGTTGCCCTTCCCAGGACAGGCAGGAACCCAGGGATGGGCCACGGGTGGCTGGAGCTTGGGCACAGGCCTTGGCGAGCCCAAGGGAGTCAGTAGTCTACATGGCAGGTAAGGACCTACTGTGTGTCTGCAAGAAGAGAGAGGGAGGAAGGTGTCAGCCAGTGGTGCCCTGAACTAGGTGTAAGTCTAAACCAGCAACAGAGGGAACCACAGAAACCATTCAGTGTCAGGTGACTTCCTGTATAACGGATGGGCTTCTGTGAGCTGGGTACTGTGTATGAAATGCACTGTACTCTTGTGTGAAATAGACACGTTAGTGTCTTTCCTTTGCTCTCCATCTCCTGTGAACCTCGTGGTAGCTCGATGAGTTGGGTTTTAATATTGTCCCCTACTTTACCAATGAATAGTCTGCAAGTTGGGGGACTTGATCAAGGTCTCAAATGAGTAAGTGGGCCAGCCAGATTCAAATCCAGGTGGTCAGATCCAGAGCATGGGTTCTGGCTCACCCCTTGTAGCTTCCACCCCCTTGCCCAGCTGTGCCCACTCCAGCTGCCATGGCCATGATGACCTTTAGGTGGAAAGATGTTGTCCCCTCATTAGCTCAGGCCCAAGTTTGGGCACCTTGTTTCTATTTCTGTTTGCATAGCTGGGCACTTTTCAAAACGACTTTTTGTTAGAAGGGGTCATCAGACAGAGACATACCCATAGGATCCAGGAAACCTGGCTGGAGCTGAGGCTTACATGGGACAGGGCCAGCTCCCATAGGCTGTGCCGACTGGGCCCTTCTTCCATGGGACCAGAAGCTTCCTCTAAATCCTACCTGAGCTCCATGTCAAAAGTCAGCTCCCCTGAAGCAAGGGAGCTGCGTTCACATCCCTGACCCCTTCCCAGGGGATCAAGAGCAAATGAGGACAATCTGGGGACCCCTGGCTGTTTTTTCTCCCAGGTGACAAGTAGAAGACAGGACATGCCCTTCCATGCTCCATGAAAGCCTGCCCCATTCTTTTGGGTTGTGAATAAAACTAGGGTTATAGCAGTTCTTCAATGCCCTACAACCTCAATAGTATCCAACTGTCACTTGCTCAGGTGGGGCACACATTCCTTCACAATCACTGGGCATCACAGGACAACATGGCTGAGATGTCAGCAGCAGTTCCGTAGCTTGTCTTCCTATTAGAGCCACCTGGGGGGCTTTGTAAAGCCCCAAAACAGCATCATCCCAGACCAATTAAATCACTGTCCCTGGGAGGCGGCTTAGGCATCAGTGATTTTAAAGACTCCAGTTTGCTTCCAGTGGCCACACCTGAGGCCATGGTATTAAGGTCTGGAGTTCAGAAGCTCAGAGCTGGGGGCAGCAGGGGTGGCTGGGGCAATCAGGGAAGATGTCTTAGGAGGGCAGGGTCTTGTGCTGGGTGTATTCCCAGACATGAGCAAATTCATCTGAATGACTCTGATCCTTATAGGAGATAGATTCCATCTCCCCACCCTGGAAGTCCAGAATTGGGGCTTTCATACCCACCACAAGGAGACTCTGATGCCTACTAAGTTTAAGACCATTGACCCACACCACCAGGATTCAGGTGGAGGTGGGGAGTCCCCGTGCAGGAGGGAACAGTGATTCCTAAAGCTCCCGGGGCAGTGGTAAGGCAGCAGGGGGTTCCTGGGTGGGGTGGCCCTCACAGGCCCTTTCTCTCCTCCCTACCCTCAGTCCGTGCAGGGCACAGGCCTGGCCTTCATCGCCTTCACAGAGGCCATGACGCACTTCCCTGCCTCCCCATTCTGGTCCGTCATGTTCTTCCTGATGCTTATCAACCTGGGCCTGGGCAGCATGATTGGGACCATGGCGGGCATCACCACGCCCATCATTGACACATTCAAGGTGCCTAAGGAGATGTTTACAGGTAACTCTTCCCTGCAGCCTTACCTGGTCCCACAGCTGCCCACACAGATACAATAATCGGGTTCTTGCTCTCACTTCAGAAAATCTGGGTTCTGACTGGGTCATTCAGGACCTCAGGCCCAGAAGACCCTGCACCCCTCCCTCATCGGGATAAAGCAAGAACCTGGCTATGGCACTTGGCCACCTGCACTTATGAGCCAGGGGGACAAAGTTATTTGGAAATCTGGGCCAACCCTGGGCTACGATCCTTGCTGGGGTTTGCTTGCCCCACCTCCCGAGGGCCTGCTGACTTGTCTTAGGCAGGGATGCCCCCTCTCTGCATCTTGTTCCACCCTCTGCTCCTGCTGAGTTGAGCTGGGCTCTCACCTGCATCCCCAGTGAGGAGCATCTTGCTGTTCTCAAATGGGGAAACTGAGGTGGAGAAAAGGAGACTGGGAACACTCAGAAGAACCATTTAAGTTTAATACAGCAATTAAGTGGAGCAGGTGCTATGGGGTAGGGGCTGTGCTGGAGCAGGACCGTGGGAGAAGAGAGGAGATCCATGCCTTCCTCAAGATGCTCCCTCCTGGTAGATGGGGAGCTCAGCACCTCAGCATGGGGTCCCTCCTGCATGGCTGTACCTCCTGGGGGAACAGTGTGATGGGAGGGACCTGGGTGCCCCCACAGACCCCCAGGGCCCTGCCCACCCTGCACCTTTGCCCCCACACCGGCCTCCCGGCTCTCTGTAGTGGGCTGCTGTGTCTTTGCATTCTTCGTGGGGCTGTTGTTCGTCCAGCGCTCCGGAAACTACTTTGTCACCATGTTTGATGACTACTCGGCCACCCTGCCACTCACCGTCATCGTCATCCTTGAGAACATCGCTGTGGCTTGGATCTATGGAACCAAGAAGTAAGGGGGACAAGCAGGGAAGAGGTGGGGTGTGGAGGAGGGTCCTATCCCATCATGATCTCCTGGCGCGTCCTGTGTTCCCAGTGTTGCTTGCAGATTGGGGCAGGAGATTATAGAATCAAAATGTCAGAGTTAAAACCCTGCCTTTTAAGCTAGGCGCTGTGGTACATGACTGTAATCCATGGATCCTTGATCCTGAGGCAGGAGGATGGCAAGTTCAAAGCCAGCCTCTGCAACAGTGAGGCGCTAAGCAACTCAGTGAGGCCCTGTCTCTAAATAGAATACAGAATAGGGCTGGGGATGAGGCTCAGTGTTGAGTACCTCTAAGTTCAATCCCCAGTACCAAGAAACCCCCAAACAACAACAACAACAAAAGTTCTGCCTTTTAGCACGGGAAACTGAGGCCTAGAGAGAGTCATGGCTACCCAGGCCTCTTGTCTAGTAAGAGCTAAAGTCAGGCTGAGGTCCTGTGTTTAGGTTCTGAGACCAGCCTAAAGTTTTGTAAATTACCACAGTCCCTTTCCTGAACACCTGTCCTTTATCAGAATTCTGCTAAGCTTGTTAAGCACTTGGTGGAGGCACCAGGGTCCCCAGTGCTCAAAGAACTGGTAGATTTCAGCAGCCTGATTCTCAAATTGTGATTTGGGCTCCAAATTTGGGTTCAGGCAAGGTAAGAGGATTCAGCAATAAGAAAGGATGGAGTGTCATGGCCTACTGCTAAGGTAGACTTCCACTCACTTTCAGCTCCTGACCTCATTCCTCCTTTAAGGAAAAAAATCAGTGTCCCCAAGAAGCTCCAGGACTAGGCCCTTCCTACTCTCTCAGCTCCAGAAGTGGCCTCACTGTCCTTCTGGGCAAGGCCCAGGACCTCTTCTAACCACTCAGTCTGGCCCTCCCTGATGCCTAGACCTGGATTGGGAATGGGGGCTCTCTCACAGGGATGGTCTGCTTCTTAAGAGAGTGCAGGAGGGACAGGAAGGGGTAAGAGAGGGGCACTCCCAGGCAGGCACAGTGGTGCACACCTGTAATCCCAGCTACTCAGGAGCCCAGGGCAGGAGGATCACAAGTTCAAGGCCAGCCTGGCAACTCAACAAGACCCTGTCTGAAAGTAAAATAATCAATCAATTAATAAGGCTAGGGATATAGCTTAGTGGTAGAGCACTTGTCTAGCATGCATGAAGCTCTGAGTTCAATCACCAGTATTAAAAAACGAGAGTGGGGCAGCGGGTGGGTGGTGTGTAGTGGGCTGTAGTGGGTTGCTGCATCCACCACCAAACTCTTCTCCATAACCTGGGTTGGAAGACACTGCTAGAGGGGCTCTGATTACACATGCCATGGGCTCCTTTGGCATTCTGATGATGCCCCCGTACCCCTCTTAGAAATATTGTTTTTTAAATGCATAGGATAAAATATATAGGATTAGATAGGAAACTAATTATATTGAAAAATAACAAAATACTGTCTAAATCTGTAAAACATAAATGTACATGTACTTTATATGTATCACATTAAGCTACAAGATCTAGTTGTGGAAATAGTAATTTCAAAGTAGTGATGAATATAAATGAGGTCTCTAGGTATCTAACAACTGTAATGTAAAATTAAAATACCTTGTGATTTCATCTATCTGGTGACAAAGTCACAGATACAGTTGACTCCTGTGGTTACGTGCATTTATAATAGGAGCAGTTGCCAGGTTTCAGTGAGGTGGAATTGAGGTAAAGATGATTTTTGTGTGCATTTAAATACGCAGCCTGCCTGCCTCCTACAGTTCCAGCACAGAACCTACAGCTAGAAATCCCCAGTCAGGATGCTAAGGAAGTACACTTTCATATTTTCTCCAGCAGGGGGAGACTTGAGCCAGGTCAGTTTGGGGGCCCACGGCTCTGTGAACTGGAGCCCTCTAAGGGTCTGTTCCACTGGCCAGGGCATGTCTCTTGCCTGTGGGTGGAGCAGCTTGTAAGGTAGTCAGAGCAGGCCAGTCAGGCCTCACACCTGTGAACATTGAAGATGAAGCCTAGAAAAGTCCAGGAGAAGGTTTCCTGGAGGAGGTGGCCATGTGGGAAGGGGAGGCTCAGAGGTGCAGGTGCCAACTGCTGGCTTCTCTGCTGTGCCTGACAGGTTCATGCAGGAGCTGACAGAGATGCTGGGCTTCCGACCCTACCGCTTCTATTTCTACATGTGGAAGTTTGTGTCTCCACTGTGCATGGCTGTGCTCACAACGGCCAGTATCATCCAGCTGGGGGTGACGCCCCCGGGCTACAGCGCCTGGATCAAGGAGGAGGTGAGGGGTGTTCCCCAGGGAAACTCAGGGACATTTGCATCTTCTTAGTGGTAGAGCACTTGTCTAGCATGCATGAAGCCCTGAGTTCAATCACAGGTACTAAAAAACGAGAGCGGGGTGGGGGTGGGGTGGGGAGGGAGGTGCAACAGGTCTTCTGAATAAACCTTTATATGGCAGCTATTCTGTGCCAGGCCCTGCTGGGTGCTTTGCACAGCTATTCTGGAATCTTTACAACAGCCCAAAGAGAAAGGTGGCATTGTCTCTATAGCACAAATGAGGAAACTGAGTCTTTAACCCATATTCTCTCTCAGTGTCTATGGAGGAGTAGACACATTTTACATTCTACATTTTACAGATGTAGGAACAGATGTTTAACTAAGGTGACCAGCTAAAAACCCAAGTAGCACCCTGGTGAGAGGAGTGGGAGGCCTTAGGCATGGGCAGGAAGAGGCTGGCCTAGAGGCCTAGGGGGGTAAACTGTCAGCAGCAGCTCTCACTGCCACCTGCCTTCAGGCTGCAGAACGCTACCTGTATTTCCCTAACTGGGCCATGGCACTTCTGATCACCCTCATCGTTGTGGCAACCCTGCCCATCCCTGTGGTGTTCGTCCTGCGGCACTTCCACCTGCTCTCCGATGGCTCCAACACCCTCTCTGTGTCCTACAAGAAGGGCCGCATGATGAAGGATGTCTCCAACCTGGAGGAGAACGATGAGACCCGCTTCATCCTCAGCAAGGTGCCCAGCGAGGCACCCTCCCCCATGCCCACCCACCGCTCCTACCTGGGGCCTGGCAGCACGTCACCCCTGGAGAGCAGCGGCAACCCCAATGGACGCTATGGAAGCGGCTACCTCCTGGCCAGCACCCCTGAATCAGAGCTGTGACCACTGCCCCAACCCTGCCCACCTCTCCCACCACGCCCAACCTGCCCACTGGTCTGGGTCTGGCCTCTTCCTTCACAGTGGCCACCAGACCCAGGCCAGGCCCTCTGCCCAAGGAGAGAGGGTCACACCCTGCCTCATTCCCATCCCAATCCTGGCAGACTCTGCTCCCTAGCCCTGATCAGGGAGCTGGGAGCAGCACTGTCCCCCAATCCAGGCCCCCAATCCATCTAACCCTTAGAACCTTTCACCAAATTGCAGCCATGTAACCAGAACAATCAAGATGTCCTGATTCCCAGTTCAGAGAAGACTCCAAATGGCTACTTTGGAGGTCATTCCATCCTCCTCTCTCCTTGCAACCTGCCACCTGAAGTTCTGGGGTGTGGGAGAGGGTCCCCTTATACTATCAGGTGGTGGTGGGGAGAGGCCTCAGGGCCTGGGGGCAGAGTCTGCCATAAGAATAGGACTCACCCTCCTGCCCAACCCAGACTGTCTGCTGCTGGGCCAAGAGGCTGCCTCATTAAAGGCTGGGTTGGAGGACAGGTGTGCCAGGAGTGTGCAGAAGCTCCCAAGGCCTGTTTTGTAAGGAAGGTGGTACCCCTAGCTTGAGCAAGAACGTTGGCACCAAAGGGGACTTGTTGGCCCCTGGATCTAGTTAGAAACTTTGGATGTCCTTGCCCCTGCCTAGGGCAGGTGGGCTATGCTCCTGCATTCTGCCTGGGTGGGCAATGACAAGGTTCAGAACCTCCCCACCTCCATTAGGGCTTAGCCATCTCCCAGCCCCTTCCATCCAACTCAAAACCCAGGGTGGTGGCCTCTGCCTTCTTTCTCCAAAGAGAAGGGGACAGTGCAAGGTAAGGTTTCCAGAGCACAGCTTGATGGTTCTCAGCACAATTTGATGGTTTGGAGCACAATTGTGAAGCACACGCCCTCTCCCCTCACCTGGGGCCCAATTTTCTCTCTAGTGGCAGCTTCTCCCCTGGAATGGGCATCCCTGTAGTTCAGGAGCTCACTCCCAGGAAGTCTTGTTCCTGGAGAAAGACAGATAATTTCACTGCCCTTTTTGGGCCACCACTCACTCTCCTTGTTGCACAAGCACAGCCACCAGTGTTGCACATTGTATGCAGACACCTTGGAAATCTTGCCCAAGCTTCCCTGGCCTGTGGTGGGCAGCGCTCTTGGCAATGCCGTGGACATTGGAGGCTGCCAAGGGCAAAGTGGAACCTCTGTCATGCGGCCTAGTGCCTGCAAGAGGCTACAGCTGATGGCAGCAACCCCACCCTTACCTTCAAGATGGGCTGCAAGATGGGCTGCCCTCCCCTGCAAGATGGGCTGCCTGTGAGGATCAGAACCAGATCCAGAATAAATGTCTGCAGAGAGATGGATGGATAGGTGTACAGAGGGATGGACAGATGGATGGATGAGTGGATGAATGGATGGATCAGTAGATGGATAGAAGTCAGTCAGGCTTCATGTCAGCACTCTGGGGGGCAGAGACGGAGCAGGCCACAGTCCTAGGCTTGGGCATCTTCATAGAGGGTGCCAAGTCCCTCTTGTGACCCTGAATACTCTCAGCACTGGGAGGGACAGACTAAGCCCAGGTCCCTTCCTTTACCCCTGAGTCCTCTGCTGCCACGCTCTCCCAGCCTGCCATTTCCCTTACTCAACCCTCCCCCACATCTTCTGTCATTTCTAGCCCTCTCAGCCCCACCTGTCCTTCCTGAGTGTTTGAGAGGAAAGGGAGACCCATATTTCCCCAAAGAGAGGCCCTCTCACCTGACAACACCTCCTACCTGGCTCCATGCCTGATCCCAAGCGGAATTAGCAACAGGAAAAGCAAGGCCCCAGGAGAGACTCTGCGCTGTCTATACTGTTCTATATGCTATTTCTATTGTACATTCAATCTGTACATGTGGGTGTAAATGCTGTGAAATGACAAACCCAATATTATACTGTGGCTGGTGGACTATTTTCATCCTCAGTGCTGTACAGATCTATTTTCATTGTATATTTGATATATTTTTAATTTTGTAGCATGGCTGGGCCAGGCCTCAGCCTGCGTGCCTGCAGGAGGAGGCTGCGCTGGGGCTGTCTGCTTGCTCATTGTGGGCTCAGTAGTGTTCATCGTAGATTTGTGCTGTGGGCTGGGCCCTGGCCTGGCAGTGTCTTTGCTGTGTTAGATGTCAGATGTAGGGCCCAGAGCTTGGTTGTGTGTGTGTGTGTGTTATGTGTGTGTGTGTGTGTGTGTGTGTGTGGTATGTGTGCACATGCGTGGGTGTGGGTGTTTGTAGGATGCTGATTTGTGACCCTTAGTGTTCACCATGCTCCTGAAGACCATGCTGCCCCCCTCTTCTTCCTCCTCTCAGCTCTGAGCGAGGCCTCAGGACAAGTGCCCCAGGAAGCTTCGGCTTGGGCTTTGATGGTTGCCTTCACATCTCTGGTGGGAGGGAGGGCCTTGGCAGGGGGAAAAAAAGTCCCCGAATTTATTTTCCAGCAAACCTCTTGCTGTTCTCACAGGAGTCTCAGCTCCTTGGCAGGGAAGGTCCTGGGTTTCTTGGGTTGGTGAGACCACCAGAGGGTCTCACTGCACCTCTGCCCTGCATTTGTCTCTGAGAGGATCCTGACTGCCCAAAAAGGGACAACGCCTGGCTGTGCTTCTGACGCCTCTGCTCACTCGGCAGGGGAGTCAGGACAGGTGGAATCACCAGAGGAGCTGGATCCAGCTTCCCTGGAGGAGCAAAAGGTGGCCAGAGAGGGGCAGACCCCCAAGTCCCTGCCCAGGATCCCCACCTGCTGGCTTTGGTGCTGTCCATGCAGTGCCCACCAGGAGGCAGAGGGGCTCCAGGCTGTGAGTGGCTGAGCTGGGTTATCAGGGCCATGCCTGTGAGAGGACTGTGCCCAGCCCCAGTCACCTGCTTCTTGCTCAGGGAGCCTTCGCCCTCTCCACTGAGGTGATGTGAGCCCAAGGCCCCAATTGAGGTGGACAGGTGGGGCACACAAGGTAATGCAGGTGAGGTAGGCGTCTGCCTTCCAGCAATAACTCTGCAGGGACTGCTGCTTTCTTAGCGCCAGGAGAAGCCCACCCAAGTCAGCCTGTGTCAGCCAAGAGGCTGGGCCTGGGCCTGGGCCCCACGCAGGCCTGCAGTATTGTCAGGCAGGTGGATGCCCTTTTGCCCTTCCTCATGGTTGCACGCCCCCCCCCCACCAGAGCACTCCCCACTGTGAAAAAGAGAAGTGAGATTTAACTGTTCATAAAGCACCTGACTTCCCCGAGTACCTCCAGGTCCTTCCACTAGCCCTGAAACATGGGGGGCTGCTGTCCCTTCATTGGGGCCCAATGACCTAGGCTAGGGGAAAAAGGTCCAGGCTCCCTTCTCATGGAAAGCCCTGCTTTGTACAGACCCAAGCACATACACCAGGCAGTCACTTTGGGTCCTGGTGCAAGTTCGGATCAGTTCAATTCCATGTGTCCCATGGCTGGTCAGAGCCCTGGGCCAGGACCATTCAGCCAGGGTGGGGAATGAGGCATTGTCACCCCAGGGCCCCTCTTTCCTCTTCTCCCCAACCCTGGTGTACAATAAAGTGTCTGTTCTTACCAAAGCCCTCTTGCTTTTCTTACCTGCTCTTGGGATCAGGGAAAGGGAATGGGAGAAGCCAAGGATCCTGAGGGAAGTTTTGGGGTGAAAGCTTAGAGTGCAATATGTGGACAGGATTCCTGAGGGTGCCTGCTGGCTGGCGAAGGAGCTTGGGAAGCCACATGGATTTATTTTCTTAGGAATTGCTCTAAGGTGTTATCAGTGCACACACCTGTGGCTACTGCAGACACCTAACCTCCTGTGAGCTTTGCAGCAGTTCTTTGAGGGAGATGCTTTTGTTCTAGATATTTCCAGGTGAGGAAAATGAGACTCCATCTGATGTGAGGATGCTGTTTGGTGGCCTTTTCCAGGGCCTTGCACAGGACATTTCTGTCCTGACTGCCAGGGAAAGCCATACCTGTCAGCTCATCAAGGGTGGGGTACATGAAGGCCTTCTGGGGGGGGGTGGGGGTTAGGGATAGGAAGCCATCAGTGTCCAGAGGTCCCAAAGCAAGGGCTGGAAAGGCAGGGGATTCAGGGTACTGGAGAGGCGGGTTGGTCGTGAATGAGCTGAGTTCTGAGTTCCGAACCATCCTTGATTCAGAAGTTTCTCTTTTGGAAACTTCTGTGGAAGGTGAAGATGAACTACAGGATGTGACGTCACCTATTGTCTCAAATTTCTATCCCAAGTACTTATTTATTAAGCATCCACTGAAATGCTCAGCACCAGGAACGGAATGAGCAGGTGGCAGGGGAAACTCTTCTCCCTGCCTCCTTCAAGATGCACAGATATTTGAAGAGCCAAGATGTCTGGCTTTGGCTAGGGCCTCACCCCCACCCTGCCCCACTTGTCCAGAAGGATGCTGCTGTGTGACTTTAGACACACTCAGCCAAGGTCCCTAAAGGAGACTTCCATTTTCTTCCACAGACAGGAAAGTTGTACCAGGAATAACCACTAGGTGGCGGAAGAACCTTCTGTCCAGATCCCAGCCTGTGTCTGGCTCCTCCTCGCCACTTACTCCTTTGTGGGTTAGTTTATTTATTGAACAAACATTTATTAAGCACTCACCATGGGCAGCCTCCCTGTCAGCCATAGATACATAAAGATATGTAAATCAGCCCCCACTGTCCTGAGTCTTGCCCAGGGAAGAACCCACCCTGTGACTCCAAATCTCCCCACTTGTCTCTCAAACAGGGGAATGTCCCAGTGCTAGAAAAGTTATTACTTGTATAATCATGCATACTTTCAACTGAAAGTAATGCTTTGCTCTGGTCAGAGGGTCAGACTCCTCAAGTTCAAGTTCAAGTGCAGGTTTGATCTCATGTTTCCTGGGAGACCTTGGGCACGTTATTTAATTCGTCTGATCTTAAATTTCCTAGTATGTAACATTGAAATAATGAATATACTGAATGAGATAATCCAACACATTATTGCATATTGTGTTCCAAGTTAGACCAACAATTAAAACAATGATTTTATTACATCTCACAATTTTATGGGTAAGGAATTCTGGCAGAGCTTGTCTGAGCAACTCTTCTAGTAGCAACTGAGGTCATTCAGTGGTATTCAGCTTGCAGAAGAGCTGGTCTGGAGAGTCCAAGGCAGCCTCCCTTACATTCATTCAAATGTCTAGCCCCTCAGAGGAAAAGACTGGGAGCCTGGGTTCAGCAGGGAACATCAATCAGAATGAACAGAGTGAACTGGTTCCTCCAGCAGAGTTAATCTCTGGTGATCAGACTTCTCATCTCAACTCCAAGTGCCCAGAGAGAACATTTCCAGAGGCAGGAACTGCATTCCTATAATTCCAGCTGCTTAGGAGGCTGAGGCAAGAGGATTACTTGAGTCCAGTAGTTCAAGTCCAGCCTGGGAAATATAGTGAGATCATTTCTAAAAAACCAAAACCTCCGAGAGGCAGAAAATGAAACTGCCAATTTCTTAAGGTCTGATCTGGAAAATGGCACACTGTTACCTCCACCATATTCTATGGATCATACCATCTGCCTGGAATTAAGGGGAGGGCACACAGAATTAAGGAGGGGGGCATTGGCTGCCCATGTAATGAAGCTGTTTTAGGGTATTAGGGATCTTCATCTTTGGTCATTGGCATCTGCGTGGAAGCCTTCTCCTTGGACCCACAGAACTGGAACATACAAGAGGTCTGTTCTGATGTGGAAGTCAGTGGGTAAATGTGGGTCCTGGGTGGAGGAAGCAGGTGATAAGGACATGCAGGAGAACATGAAAGACTTCTTCTGCCTTATGTTTGCCCTGGGGTTAGATGACACAGGTAGTTTGAACCATGAGTCTCTCGCCAACTGTGGACAAGCCACTAACCCTCCGAACCTGCAATTTTCTAATCTATAAAAGGAGGTTGACAATAAAATCTCTTCTTGGAGGGGATGCTGTGAGGAATAAACACACTCCTTCTTGTAGTACCTGCTGGAACACCATATAGAATTCTTCCAAATGTTAATACAAGAGCTGCTCGTTAAACATTACCCTCCTCTCTTGCACCCCCTGGGTAGGTTCATGGGGCCTGCTTCACTCTGGGAGCTCCGTCAGCCGTGCAATGAGCCAGGCTCCTAGAACTGTTTTAAGACATTTTAGTCTGAACCCGAGAAACCAAGGATGGAGGAGTGAGAGGATTCCCTTTCCAAGGAAAGAGGTACTCAGAGTGTGTGTGGGGGGCAGTCTTCCTGATCCTTAACACTATC